ATTATTCCCGGTATTGTTGTGTTTGGCGCTGTTAAAGATGTATCCCTGTTGCTGCCCCCATTGTCCTTACTAGACCCGCCACTACCTATACCTACACCTGCACCTGTATCTACCTGTATCTGTACCTACACCTGTATGTACCTACACCTGTATCTGTACCTCACCTGTACCCCTGTACTGTACCCTACACCTGTATCTGCTCCATACCGTACACACCTGTACTCAATGCCTACACCTGTATCTGTACCCACACCTGTATCTGTACCTTCTGACCTGTATCTGTACCCCACACTGATATGTCCTACACCTCTTACACCTGTATCTATACCTACACCTGTATATGTACCTGCACCTGTATCTGTACCTACACCTGTACCTACACCTGTGCCTACACTATATCTGTCAACACCTGCATCTGTACCTACACCTGTATCACCTGTATCTGTACCCCACACTTGTATATGCCTCACACCTGTATCTGTACCCACCTGTATCTGTACCTACACCTGTATCTGTACCTACACCTGTATCTGTACCCACACCTGTGTGCCTACACCTGTATCTGTACCTACACACCTGTATATGTCACACCCACATCTGTACCCACACACTTGTATGTACCTACACCTGTATCTGTTGCCTACACCTGTATCTGTACCTCACTTCACCTGTCTGTAACTGTACCTATATCTTCAAACCTGTATCGCACTTCTACACCTGTATCTGTACCTCACCTGTATCTGTACCTACACCTGTCTGTACCCACACTTGTATATGTACCTGACTCCTACACCTGTATCTGTACCTACACCTACACCTGTGCTGTACACACCTGTACTCCTACACCTTATCTGTACCCACCTGTATCTGTACCCACACTGCCTGTGTCTGCACCCTACACCTGTATCTGTACCTACACCTGTATCTGTACCTACACCTGTATCTGTACCTACACCTGTCACCTACACCTGTACCTACACCTGTGCTGTACCTACACCTGTATCTGTACCCAAACCTGTACCCCACACCTGTATCTGTACCTACACCTGTATCTGTACCTACACACTGTATCTGTCACACCTGTATCTGTACCTACACCTGTATCTGTACCTACACCTGTATCTGTACCTACACCTGTATCTGCACACCTGTATCTGTACCTACACCTGTCTGCTACACCTACACCTTATCTGTATCTACACCTGTATCTGTACCCACACCTGTATCTGTACCTGTACCCCACACCTGTACCACACCTGTATCTCCCACACCGTATCTGTACCTACACCTGTATCTGTACCCAAACCTGTATCTGTACCCCACACCTGTATCTGTACCTACACCTGTGTTACCTACACCTGTATCTGTACCTCACACCTGTCTGTACCTACACCTGTATCTGTGCCTACACCCTGTGCCACACCTGTCTGTACCCCACACCTGCTAACTGTACCTACACCTGCCCTACCATATCTGTACCCTACACCTGTATCTGTACCTACACCTGTATCTGTACCTACACCTGTATCTGTACCTACACCTGTATCTGTACCCCACACACTTGTATCTGTACCTACACCTGTCTGTACCTACACCTGTATCTGTACCTACACCTGTCTGCACCTACACCTGTACTGTACCTACACCTGTATCTGTACCTGCACCTGTATCTGTACCCCACACTGTATCTGTACCTACACCTGTACCTGTACACCTGTATCTGTACCTACACCTGTCTGTACCTACACCTGTCTCTGCACACTCCTGCACCTGTATCTGTACCTACACCTGTATCTGTACCTACCTGTATCTGTACCCACACCTGTATCTGTACCTACACCTGTATCTGTACCTACACCTGTATCTGTCCTGCACCTGTATCTGTACCCACACTTGTATATGTACCTACACCTGTATCTGTACCTACACCTGTATCTGTACCTACACCTGTATCTGCACCTACACCTGTATCTGTACCTACACCTGTATATCTGTACCTACACCTGTATCTGTACCTACACCTGTATCTGTACCTGACACCTGTATCTGTACCCACACCTGTATATGTACCTACACCTGTATCTGTACCTACACCTGTATCTGTACCCACACCTGTATCTGTACCTACACCTGTATGTACCCACACCTGTATCTGTACCTACACCTGTATCTGTACCTACACCTGTATCTACCCACACTTGTATATGTACCTACACCTGTATTCTGTACCTACACCTGTATCTGTACCTACACCTGTATCTGTACCTACACCTGTATCCCTGTACCTACACCTGTATCTGTACCTACACCTGTATCTGTACCCCACACCTGTATATGTACCTACACCTGTATCTTACCCCTACACCTGTATATGTACCTACACCTGTATCTGTACCCACACACCTGTATCTGTACCTACACCTGATCTGTACCTCCACACCTGTACTGTACCTACACCTGTATCTGTACCACACCTGTCCACACCTGTATCTGTACTACACTGATCTGTACCACACCTGTATCTGTACCCACACCTGATATGTACCTACACCTGTATCTGTACCTGCACCTGTATATGCCCACACCTGTATATGTACCTACACCTGTATCTGTACCTACACCTGTATCTGTACCTACACTGTATCTGTCCCTGTATCTGTACCTACACCTTATCTGTACCTACACCTGCATATGCACCTACACCTGTATCTGTACCTGCACCTGCATATGTACCTACACCTGTATGGCCTACACCTGTATCTGTACCTACACCTGTATCTGTACCTACACCTGTATCCACACCTGTATCTGTACCCTACACCTGTATCTGTACCACACCTGTATCTACCCACACCTGTATATGTACCTAATCTGTATCTGTACCTACACCTGTATCTGTACCTCACCTGTATCTGTACCCCTACACCTGTATCTGTACCCACACCTGCATACGTACCTACACCTGTATCTGTACCTACACCTGTATCTGTACCTACACCTGTACATGTACCTGCCAACCTGTATCTGTACCTGCACCTGTATCTGTACTACACCTGTACCCACACCTGTATCTGTACCCCACACCTGTATCTGTACCCACACCTGTATCTGTACCCACACCTGTACCCACACCTGTATCTGTACCTACACCTGTATCTGTACCTACACCTGTATCTGTACCCACACCTGTACCCACACCTGTATCTGTACCTACACCTGTATCTGTACCTACACCTGTACCACACCTGTACTACCCACACCTGTATCTGTACCTACACCTGTACCTCACACCTGTATCTGTAACTCCACACTTGTACCCACACCTGTATCTGCACCTACACCTGTATCTGTACCTATACCTGTACCCACACCAGTATCTGTACCTACACCTGTACCACCCACCACCCCACACCTGTATCTGTACCTACATCTGTACCCACACCTGTACCTGTACCTACACCTGTATCTGTACCTACACCTGTACCCACACCTGTATCTGTACTTACACCTGTATCTGTACCTGCACCTGTACCTACACCTCTATCTGTACCTACACCTGTGCCCACACCTGTACCTGTACCTACACCTGTGCCCACACCTGTACCTGTACCTACACCTGTGCCCACACCTGTACCTGTACCTGCACCTGTACCCTCATGTTTCCTACAGGGTGAGCCGCTACACACAGACAGGGAGCGGGGTGTGCTGGCTCAGGGAAGGAACCTGGTGTTACAGAAGGTCAACAGGAGGTCCAGAGGTCACTATCAATGCCAGGTCACCAACGCCGTAGCCACCGTCACCAGTAATACCGCCTCGCTCGATGTCATGTGTGAGTAGTAAGAGTTATCTATCTATCTCTCTATCTATCTATCTATCTATCTATCTATCTATCTATCTATCTATCTATCTATCTAAATAAATACCCACTCTATTCCCCTTTGTGTTGTGTTTTGGTGAATAAATTTTGACATACAGTTCATAGTTCAGTGAGCTTCTTCACTCGTAATTTGATCTCAGTTGAATGTTGGAAAAATGTTTTGATCTTTGGAGCGAATCTTGCAACGTCAATCTCGTTGTAATTTACCTTCATTCTCCGTGTGTGTGTGTGTGTGTGTGTGTGTGTGTGTGTGTGTGTGTGTGTGTTTGTGTGTTATGTTATTCTAAATTGTTATTACTTTACACCATTTTAATTATTGGATGATTTTTTAATATTTGAATCATTGTTATTTTGGTTGTAGTGTGATTTTGATGTTGTCTTTTTAATAGTCGTGTTTTTTTTCTTTGTGAGGTTAACTGTTTTTTTTTAGTGTTTTTATTTTTGTAGACGACTAATTTTTGCCTCTCTCTCTCTCTCTCTCTCTCTCTCTCTCTCTCTCTCTCTCTCTCGTCATATGTCCTTGAATTTTTAGTTATGTTCAATTTTTTTAAACCCAAACCTTATAAGACTTCACCTTTAAATACCAGACACCTGTAATCCCTCCCTCCCTCTCTCTCTCTCTCCTCTCCTCTCTCCCTATTCCCTCTCCTCCTCCCTCCCCTGTCCCTCCTTCCCTCACTCACTTTTCCTCCCTCCCTCTCTCCCTCCTTCCCTCCCTCCGTCGATCCCTCTCCCTCCCTCTCTCCCTCCTTCCCTCCCTATTTCCCCTTCCCTCACTCACTTTTCCTTCCCTCACTCCTTCTCTCCTTTGATGCTGCCATTCACCTTTTTCTCCCTAATTCTCTCCCTTCTTCCCTCTCACCCCCTCTCCCTTCCTCCCTCTCACTCCCTCTCCCTCACCCTTTATCTATGACCATTGATCCCCGCACTATGAGCACTGAGCAGTATAGCACAAATTCTGTATCGGTCTGTCTCTACCTGTTAATGAGAGGTGTCTTAGGTTAATTACGTATCATAATTACACTTCTCTCTTAATCCTCCTCCTCCTGTTCTTCCCTCTTCCTCCCTTTCCTCCTTCTCCTCCCTTCCTCTTCCTCAGCCTTTGTACTTCAATTAACCTTTGCTTTCTGCCATAATGTGTTAGTTAAGCTACATCACCTTAACATGTTGTCTCACTTGGTCTCTCCTTTATTGTATTTTGCTCTTACCTGTGTTAATTATTTTTACCTGTGTTAATTATTTTTTACCTGTGTTAATTATTTTTTACCTGTGTTAATTACTCTTACCTGTGTTAATTATTTTTTACCTGTGTTAATTATCCTCAATTTTGTTAAGTACTCTCATCTCTGTTAATTACCTTCTCCTCTGTTAATTAATATCACCTCTGTTAATTATTCTCTTCTCTGTTGATTGCCCTAATTACCCTCTCCTCTGTTACTTGTCCTAATTACCCTCTCATCTGTTAATTACCCTTACTTCTGTTAATTACTCTCACCTGTGCTAATTACCCTCAACTTTTAATTAGTTTCACATATGATAATTACTTTCACTCACCTGGTGCGTCGCCATCTGTTTCAGTCGCCCCTGAATGCCGTGACCCGAGGAACCTGACTGTGTCCGTCACCGCCACGGAGGAGGTCAACCTCGAGTGTGTAGTGGAGGCCAACCCACCCCCGGTAAGTTGGAGGGAGAGGGAGAGGGAGAGGAAGCATAAAGTGTGTGCGTGGGTTGGAGTGAGAGGGAAGGGCGTTTAGGAATGGGAAGAAGAGAGAGAGAGAGAGAAGGATGATGAATATCTGAATGGAAAGGATTTTTCGAGAGTAAAGCTAAGATATATTTAAGAAGTTTCTCTCTCTCTCTCTCTTCTTCTAGACATTGAATAATATTATTAATATTAATAGACACACACACACACCATCCATTCATCCACTCATACACAACGTCACTGAACTGATTTGTTGTTATAAAATATTTATCATCTTGTTTTTGTTGACGTTCGTGTATTGATCCGACTTCAACTGAATTCTAATGCAAGAATTAATATATTGGGAAGTAAATATATGTTTATACCTGGTTATTGATGTCCAATTTATAGGTGTAATCGGGGTTTAGTTCGTAATGGTCTAGTCGATATTAACAAAATGAATTGACCCTGCGGGTAAAATATATCTAAACTGCTCTGTCATTATGTTACGTGGATGGGGTGTGTGTGTGTGTGTGTGTGTGTGTGTGTGTGTGTGTGTGTGTGTGTGTGTGTGTGCGTGTGTGTGTGTGTGTGTGAGAGAGAGAGAGAGAGGAAGAAGAAAAGGAATGAAAAGTAAGTAAAATAGACAAATAGACAAACTGAAAGAAAGAGGAAGAAATTGTGAAATAAAGAGAAAATGGAGATCGAGAGATAAATAAATGAGAGGAAAAGAGAAAGCATAAGAAATAGAAAGTGATGTTATTTTTAATTATTAATATTTCGGTTGTTTTTCATATTAGTTTAATTATTTAAGTCTCTCGTAGAACAAAAACACGTTTTCTGTCCCTTTCCCCCCCATTATATTTTTTAATTCTTATTCTTATTTATCGTTTATTATTCCAATTACTACATGTTATTTGGATATTCATAGATTGACAATATTTCTTCTCTGTTTATCATTTCTATTCTACAACATTTATCATTCTTGGATATTAACAGGGGACATAGAGACTTCAATTATCCTCTCCTCTCTTCTATGTCTCGTTTTCTTATATATTATCCCAATTCCTGTTTCTTGGGGATTGCAATTCTTCTTCTTCTTCTTCTTCTTCTTCTTCTTCTTCTTCTTCTTCTTCTTCTTCTTCTTCTTCTTCTTCTCCCTTATCGCATATTATTCCAGTTCTCGTGAATGATACAATAGAAAATGAGAACAGTATTTCTCTCTTTCTCCAATTTTTCTCATCTCCTTTTTCTTATTCCTATTTCTTATTTATTGTAAAATATTCCACTTATCACAGGTGGTCTTGGTGAACAAAGGAATGTATAAATATTTTGGGATCTTTTTCTTCCAAGTCTTTCATTTAATTTCTCTTATTCATTTTATTTATTTTTTTTTTGTTTCACGTTTTATTAGTTATGTCTTGTTTATAGTGTGAGTTACGAAGGAGAGAGAGAGAGAGAGAGAGAGAGAGAGAGAGCCACATCACCTCTTCTACAATAACTTAATAATAACATTCTCTTCCTCTTTCCTCCTCCCTCCTCCTCCCTCTTCCCTGCTCCTCCACCTCAGCCTCCTCCTCTCCTCCTCCCTCTTCCTCCTCCCTTCCTTCGTACTTCCTCCCTCCTTCTCCCCTTCTTCCCTTCCGGATCTCTTCCCACTTCCTACCTCTTCCTCCTTCCCCTTCCTGTCTTCTTTTCTCTCTTCTCCTTCTCCCACTCCTCCTTCCTACTCCTTCCTCCTCCTCCTTCTTTTCACTTTTCCTACTCCCTCTCCTTCCTCCCTCCTCCTTCCCTCCTCCTTCCTTCCCTCCTCTGTAATTCCTCCCTCTTCCTTCTCCCCTTCTTCCTCTGACCCCCTTCCCACTCCTCCTACCTCTCCTCCTCCCCTTCCTGTTTTCTTTCTCCTTCTCCTTCTCCCACTCCTCCTCCTACTCCCCCT